AAAAAGAAGGGAGAGAAAGAAGGAAAGTCTGGGATGAAAAGATTTGAAATGTAAACTGGCCTCATCACACAAGCAATTACGCTGGAGCCTGCTGAAGCTCTGCGCCCCAACAAACAGGCTGTAGAAAGAAATAATGACTATGATGTTGAAGTAACATTTTAAGAACTTAGTCCACCTATTTATCCCCAGCTGTTTCTTGGCCAGCTGTTTCTTCATACACAACAAGCTGCGATGCACTGTGTGTTCTGACACCTTTCCATCACAGCCGGCATGAACTTTTTCAGCAGTTTGTGCTACAGTATCTCTTCTGTGGGATTGGACCAGATGGGCTAGCCTTCGCTCCCCACATGCATCAGTGAGCCTTGGGCACCCATGACCCTGTCCTTCCTTGGACCACTTTTGGTAGATATTAACCACCGCATACCAGGAACACCCCCACAAGATCTGCCGAGATGTTCTGACGCAGTTGTCTAGCCATCACAATTTGGCCCTTGTCAGAGAGTCACTCAGATCCTTATACTTTCCCATATATATATATATATATATATATGCACATATACACACACACACACAGTTAGGTCCGGAAGTATCTGGACAATGACAGAGTTTTTGTAATTTTGCCTTTACACTCCACCACGATGGATTTGAAATATGTGATGTGATCGAAGTGTAGACTTTCAGCTTTATTTTAAGAGGTTCCACAAAAATATGTCATTTACCATTTAGGAATTACAGCCATTTTCAACAAAGTACCTCCATTTTCAGGGGCTCAATGGTATTTGGACATAAGTGACAATTGTAATTATAACCATAATTTTAATACTTGGATGAAAATACTTCCGGACTTATTTATAGCCATAAACTAATCATTAAAGGTTAAGCATTAAAACGTTACTGTTGTCACCAACAGATCTTTGTAAGGAAGGAACTTGATATGCTATAGGATACAGCGCCACAGACATCATCCCAAACAAACAAACACACATGAACCAGAGGCGAGGCAGAACCCAACCACACGTTAATAGAGGCTTCTTATGATTCTGAGTGCACCCAGCTGGCAGCTGTACAGGAGGAGCTTGAAAATACAGAACGCAGAGAAAAAAAAAAAGCAAAGTTGACAGATGAAAAGCCTCGAATTACTCACTGACTCACTTTTTACTGGTGGCTCATGCTCCAGACTGGCTTAAAGATGAGAATCTCCTACTCCCACCTCTTGAGAGCAGTTCAGATCACTTCACCTTTTCGTTTTTTCTCTCATTACCCCGTGCTGAGTAATAAAGCTCAGAGCACTTTATTAGTCAGAGTGCTGATTGCATCACAAAATATAACAACTGTATTAAAACATTTGACTCATTCAATTAATTCTAGTCTCCAGAAATTGGAAAGGGCTGTGATGAAGCCTCTAGCGTTTATCCAAGTTAAAGCTTGACATTCTGTTCTTTTAATGCGTAGTCATTATTATATTTAAATTCTAATATGCTGGATTACACAGCCAAAAGATCACGCTGTGCATCAGGCTATCAACTATTAACTTCTGTTCTGCAAATTGTTCTGACTTTCTATGGTGAGTCGGAAGAACATTGTGGACTAAATCCTTAATCCTTTGCTTTGTAACTAACTGTAGCAGTTTGACTAAATGGGAATTAAAATTCCCTGCCGGAACGTCAATTCAATTTAATATGAATGGTCAAAGAATGCAAAAAGGAATTCTTTTTATTTTAATTGTTCTTCATGAATTTATTATTTCACTCCATGGCAGGGCATCACAAACACACACATGCATGGGCTAATTTAAAAGTAGCCACCATGTTGCTGAGAGGTGGTAGAAAGCCAACGTGCCTGGAGGAAACTCTCACAGATGAAGGGAGACCATAAAACGCCACACAGACAGTACTTCTGCATTTATTCACTTACTTTGCTTTCTTTTTACTATTTGCTGTTGCTATTTGTACCAAATTTGTTCTTCTGTTCTTTTTTTTTTTTTTGCTTTGTTTAGCATCTGAGATGTAGGTCTTACCTGCCGATTGCTGCGGAATGTGTACATGTGATACAGCACAGGGATGAGCTTGTTCTCCAGGGCGGGGTTCAGGATGTTGTTCGGGATTTTGAGCTCGCGAACCAGCAGATCCACCAGGAAGCTGCCCAGCTGAATGACCAGCATGTGTGGCCAGGGCGTGTCATCGCTCAGGAGGGAGGGGCCAGCGGTTTGCTCCGCCTCCAAAGTGCTCCATTGCTCCCGTGGCAACACACTGCAGGGCTGGGATTGCACAGAACAAGACATGATTACACACAGTCTTGTAGTTAGACACTAAAGATGATCTTGACACTTCAGGTAAGTGTTACTAAGAGGTTCAGGGTTTACTGCAGAGTGATATTGTTACAGTGTCACGGTGTACCATTGTACGGTTACCTCACCACTGACTTTTTCAAAATGCATTTTATTTTACCCAAACAAGTTTATTACTTCAGTGGTTCTGATCCATTTTGTGTCCACCTATAACAAAAAGTTCACAACCCCTCCCCTACCTCTGTTTCCACTCCTAGCATGTTCATAACTTTATTATACATGACCGCTTTCAAACCTACAGAAGAACAGGGTATTGCTGATCAGAACTAAACCAAACTGCTATCTATTCTGGCTAACCAGCGCTGCACACTGCTGTGCTAGGTTTTTTTTTTTTTTTTTGGCCACCTTTCCTCACAGCCACTTTCTCTTTCGGCAATGTAAGAGATTTTAGGGAAAGGTCATTCTCAAAAATATCACTCTAAGAAAGAAAAACACTTAGGGAATTTAATTGTCTGGTAGCCTTTAGGTTTTTCTTATATACAAAGTGTGCAAAATGTATTTTTTATTTGATCTTCACCACCGGCTTGTTTGTTTTTTAAAACCGTGATATTTTTAGACTAGGTTATCACACTGTGAAAAATTCAAACTATACCACTACTACCCTATTCCAGGGTCAATGGTTTGATCCAAAATCTTAACAAATAAGAAAAATCAAGGTTCTGATAATGCCCTTTCTGCAGAAGGCAGATTCGATACCTCTGTGTCTTTTCCAAGCAGTTTCACGTATGAGTTGTAGATGTTGCCCAGTTTCTCCACTATCTGGCTGTGACTCTTCTGTTGGATGCAGTACACGTTGTGGACTCTGTTGCCCAGTTCCTTAGCCAGGAATAGCAGAGACTCTCCGCTGGGTGGCAGGCTGGCCAATCCCTAAGTATCATGAGTGCAACACAGAAGGTATATAAACAAATGAACGTAGGGCATTTTCAGCAAGGTTAAGGAAAGTTTTGAAGAAGTAAAGGCACGTTTTCTTTCCCCCCGCTAGAACCTTGTGAGGAACCCACAAGTTATCATAAACACAGGGATTCTAAGCATAGCCCACAGGAGAAACAGGGCTGGGTCATACCGCCAAGACCCATTTCAGTTTCACAATAGCTACATAATGACAGACTTGTGACAGACTTCGAGTGGAGCTTTTCTTATTGAACATCACTACTGGTCTAGTCTCACAAGGCCAGACGGATCTCTAACAAGAATACACATCTGGAGATGCCAAAGAAGAAAGTTTGGCTTAAGGGTAGGTAGGAATGTAGCGGTGAACACACTCTTTTAAATTTCTAAGCACATGCACATCCTTGTGAAGACATCAGTTAAGAATATGAGTACACACATGTGCTGAGAATGGTTAAATGCAGTAAAACCAAACATCATCTTTTGCAAGACCAGAAACATGTCTGATCTGTTGAACCTGTTTACGTACCCTTCTCAATCTTGCTTCTTTGATTTCAACTAATGCTGCTTGGCTACAAGCCTTAAATATTAAGGGTGAAGCATCAAGTGATGGCTAAATGAGTTTTGTGATTACTGTTGTTTCTATTAGTTTCGTTGCCAATATTGCAGTCAAAGCACCAGCTGAAGCTCTCACAGGGATAAACAACAGAAGCACGTACCTGCAGCATGATGTTGACGTAATCCTCATCGCGAAGGATGCGCAGGAACGGGTAGATGCTGATCTTCCAGTTCCTCTGGTTGCTGCTGCCTAAAACCATCCGGCTCTCTCGCAGAGCCTGTAGCAGAGCTTTGTGCCAGTGAGAGCGCTGCTCGGCTAACAGCTTCCTCTGAAACACATCAGAGTGCAGAGTGAACGTTCAGAGCCATGGAAAGATGTGGCATGACAAATATTTCAGAACCTGCTGTAATGACTAAAGCCTCTCAGTTACTACTGTTAATATTGTTACTAATATTGTTGCTACTGTTCTTACTACAATTGTTACTATTATTGTTACTATAACTATTGTTGTTACTTTTGTTACGATTGTTACACAAAAAGCAGCAGAATCAGACAGCGGCTGAATGAAGACAACACACCACAATACGGAACACTTCCCATTTTAAAATTTCTTCTCACTGTATGGAGCTGTGTTAACTACTGCATGTCTCCAACACACTCTGCGTGAAAGTGGGTTAGACAATCAGCAGGGTTGCTCTTTCCCTCGGCCCAGCAGAGTGAGCAGATGACACAGCGCTGATAGGCTGGCCTTGATGCCCAAACCTTGGGGCAGATTATATGGCATTAGTATTCTATTCAGTGCTGCAGTAAATGCTGCTGGACCACCAGGGAGCCCCTGACCTCTCCGATCTGAGACCACAAGCAGCAGAAGCTGAGCAAGTAAATGCCACTACAGAAAATATCAGTGAATTTCAGATAATACTTTCAAACTTACAGATATGACATATTTTTTGCAAATGGTGCTCCTTTTACAGAAAAATATTAATAAGTAAGGAATATAAAATAAAGAATTACCAGGCATTAACTGTTGTTTGTGTTCTTTCGGTTGCTCCCCTTAGGGGTCGCCACAGCGGATCACTGGTCCGCATATTTGATTTGACACAGTTTTTACCCCGAATGCCCTTCCTGACGCAACCCTCACCAATTTAATCTGGGCTTGGGCCCGGCACCAGGAGTGTTTTGTGCAATCCCTGGGGCTGGGGTCGGTTCCCTGGCCGGGAATCGAACCCGGGCCGCGGCGGTGAGAGTGCCGTGGCCTAACCACTAGTACTCCAAGGACCCAATTACCAGCCATTAACTAATGTATCAAAATTTGCCGAAAGCTCATATAAAAATTATTTGACCCTTACACATAATCTGTGATTTGATTTGCAGCCAGAACTACAATGACTTTATAGAAATTGTCAGCCATTTTTCTGAGAGAATGATGCATAATCATCACCAATTGTTTCAATCTTTCCTTATAAACTGGACTTTTAAAATCTATATTTGTATTGATTGTTTCATTTTTTGTCCTTGTTAAATTACTTAATTTTTGCATTTATGATATCATCTAAATTACAATTTCAGTGATATTGAAAATCTCACGCAACCTACTACTTTTTTTAAATGAACTGCGCTCTGTTTTCATTGCTCACATTATTATTTTTATTTATTTCTTTTGTGCTTGGGTTATAGTAAAATGTATTATTATTAGCATTACATCATTCGAAGGTGGCTAAACCTGCTCCCAAATGTGCGCCAGTCCACTTATGTTACAGCCTTAACCAGTTTAAGTCTGTTAAGAGTGAGGGCTGATGTGCAGAAGCAGGGTTGGACTCCCCTGAGCCTAGTCAGTGTGCATGTGCGTGTACGAGAGGGAGCCACGCACCATCCTGGCCATGTGTTCGGTGAAAGGTTTAATGGCCTCCACAGAGTCGATGGTGATGGTGTTGGCCTGCTCCATAGCCAGCTGACGCCTGAAGCGCTCCTGCAGCTCAGCCACGCTAAAGTCTAGCTTAGGATAGCTTGTTTCTTCCCTCTGAAACAAGGTAAAGAGAACAGCGAAGGATTTTAATTGTTAAAATTCAACGTTATCAAGAAACCTGGAATCAAATCACACTTAACAAGGGTTTATTGTTACTGCAACACTTGGAAGTGGACCCAAGGTTCTCTCAGGTCATAATTAATTACACTATGTAATTCGTGTATACATAAGCCACATTTACATGCAGCCTTGTAATACACTAATAATCTCACTAATGGCTCAGTTGGAATAAAAACTTATGTATATATATATTTCAGTCAGAACAGAATAAAACAACGGAGGCCAGCTGGAATGGAAGTCCTATCCAACTGAATGAATTCAAATCTACATGCAAGCATAGCCCTTGTGTATACAGAGCCTGCATCATTTCGTGCAAAATGAATAAGCGGTAAAGCTGATTTTCACCCGTCAATCTAAACAGACTCTTTATATCAATGTATGGTAGCAAAACCGCTTGCTCTAACGACATGACCTGCTGGGACAGCAAACAGACAATGGCTTTGATTAATGCATGGTGAACACGTAGATTACATCTTAATTCACTCATGTTTAATTAAAAAGAAATGAGTTTTTCAGTCGTGGCCAAGGTCTGACTTTCAGGACACAACAGCAGCCTGGAAAGCAGCCAAATCAAAGCTGTACAAACTGCAAATATGCTGTACATCACAGGAGAGGCTTGGAAAGTGGTGCTGAGAAAACACTTTTAAATTGAAAAGGAGTTGTATGGACATCTGGTGTTAGAATTAGAAAGTAGAAGCCACACTATATGGCCAAAGGTTTGTGGACACCTGACCATCACACCCATATGCTGGCCAAACTGCTGCCACAAAGTAAAAACACACAACTGTATGGGATGCCTTTGTATGCTGTAACATTACAATTTCCCTTCACTAAAACTAAGGGACCCAAACCTGTTCCAGCATGACAATGTCCCTGTGCACAAAGCCAGCTCCATGAAGACGCCATCTGCCAAAAGTTGGAGTGGAAGAAATCGAGTGACCTGCACAGAGCCCTGACCTGGATCACTGACTGCACCCCAGGCCTCCTCATCTACCATCAGTGCCTGACCTCACTAATGCTTCTGTGGGTGAATGGGCAAATCCTCACAGGCACATTCCAAAATCTGGTGCAAAGCCTTCCCCGGAAGAGTG